TCTGCTGCTTCATTTGCTATTCTACATGACCTACAGAGGGCCTATGCCTACAATAACACACTGGTTGATATGTCCAGGTCTCTTGTGTGACCAGGAAATGCAATTTATGCTGTCTCACTACTGGGTTTGATGTACATCCCAAAGCCTATTGCTGTTCTATCAGCTGAGCACTGTTTATCAGCTGATTTGCATACTTTCAAGTAGGTCACCTAATTTAAGTGGGAAGGGGAGAGCTCTCCCCTTGGATGAACAGCACCTCTTATATTTTAGAAGGTTTTCTGTCCACTTAGGAAAGGATTAAATAAGATACAGGAGGGCATGTAGGTGCATGTGCATGCAAGCAGCAGGCAGGGAATGGGGCATTCCAGACACCAACAGCAGCATAGGCTCATCACAAGACATGAAAGCAAGGACACTACCAACCAGATTTCCCAACATGAGGAGCCTGTCAAAGCTGCTTATTTTCCAGATTCAGACCTCCACTAGGGAAAATTGTTTATTTTGTAAGCACTCAGGGAACATGAAGCAGCACACTCCTAAGCCAGAAATAATCTTGTGCTGGCTCCTTACAATATGTGCCATCATGTTAATACCCAACTAAGCAGCAGGGCAGGAAAACATCGAGGTCTCATCTGCATAGGGAAGTGAATCGTTGCTGTGGTAGCACAATAAACATCTTCTGTAAGGAGGTTATTCTCCAAAAACTAGGTTAAAAGGTAACTTCATTTGCCTGCCAGCGCTTGCTTCTAAAAAAAACCCAGCAAAGTTGTAATAAGACCCAGAAGTTGAAAACTTGAACCAGGCAATGCCAAGTATGAAAAGGAGTATGTGTCGCAGTTTTGGTTCAGGGAAAGGACCAGACCAGCTCAGGGCTCTTGCCTAGCTTGTAGGTGGTATTAACAGGCTCAAGGCAATGGCTGAGGGTTGAGTTCACCCTGAAGGCGCACCCAGAAAAGAGGCACACACAACACTACTGAACACCCAAACAACCAAGGCTGATCTCCTTTATTAACACAAAATGGTAGGTTTTATAGGGCTAGGTAGAGAAGGGTCTGGAAAGAGGGTGGAGACTGGGAGGAGCATGCAAATCCTCTAACAATCATTGGTTTGGGGTACATGAATAAACATAGAGAGGTGTCAACAGGGAGAGGACTAACAAGGGGAGAACATGATTGGTCAGAACCTCAGGGTACATTGACCTATGCGGGATTGTCTCCATGCCTGACAGGCAAAAGTCCATGAGGGGAAAAATGAGGGAATCAACCTACTAATAGGTTTTATAACTTTAACAAAGCTACCACAATAAAGTCCTCAAACGTTGATGTTATCACAGGTAGTGGTGTGGACAGGGCTGGTCTTCCAATCATCAAATGAAACCTCTCCTCTCCCTTGATCCATCCACAGTGCAAATGCTGTTTCCATTTTCTCATGGTCTTCCTCACCTCCAACAAGTATGCACTATTTATTGGGAAAGAACCAGCCACCAGAACAACATTGCTAGTGCCCTATGGAGTTCAGTCTCCCTGGAAGTATTTTTAATCAAAAAAAAATTTTTTTTTCATAAAAGATCACCTTTAATTCAATCAGGAGTTAATTCAGGGAAGCCTAAGGCTGGTGCTGTGCAGTAGGCCAGGCTACATTGTCTCAACAGCTTCAGTTAGCATTATAACCTGTTCATTACTACCTTTTCTCTCAAATTTCTAAATCACCTAAAACTTTAAAACACCTTTCCTCCAAAGCAAATATTCTTGTGAGGCAGGTAGGCAGACACAGCTATGCAGAGTAACACCTCCAGTCAGTTTTTGTGCCTTGGAAAGCCTTTATTCAAATCACTTGTCACAACCATGCCGTAGACAAGCTTTGCCTAGGGAGATTGTCCAGCACAACTATTACAGAACTATCTGATTATTCAAGAATAAATCACTTTTATTTTGGAATACACTGTCAGCATGAGGGAGTTATATTGGCAGAGCTGAGAGAGCTCTTCTGGTCAATTCTCCTATGCAGACGTGCCATACATGTGTGATAAGGCTGTAGAATAATCCCCCAGGAAAAGCAATGAACATTTTATTGATTGGGATATTTCAAACTTCTGCAAGACAAAGCTATCTTCTGTGCACTGAATGAGCAGACAAGATGGAACTGAGGACTGGGTCTGAGGACTGCTCCAACTTCCCTGTTTAGTTTAGAGAAGGCACTCTGAACACTAGCAAGTGGCAGAGAGGGGAAAAAAATATCTATATCTGGCTCTGATTCTGCCAGAGGCACTGTGATTCCTGCAATGTTAGTGGCAGGAGAGGTCATTTCCTTGAAATTCAAGACAAATGTGTGATGCTGAAGCCACAGATATGGGTAACAGGCCATGATGACCTCCAGAACCAACCCAGTGCCCCACACCCAGGCTATTTGCTTTCTTTTCTTCCCTAAACAGTGCCATTTATGGGAGGAGTGCTGGGCCAGGCATGGGAAGATGGTTGATGGGAAGGGAAGTTTGCAAGGAGTAAGTGCTATCTGCACTTCTCCCCATGGAATCAAAGCACAGCCGAGATAGTTGGTCATGACCAGCTGGTCATTTCAATAGCAGCTCCTCTGCAGAGTCATGATCTCTTCTGCTTCTACGGCAGGAGCTGCAGGCCTGCATCTACAGGATTTCATGCTCTGTGTGAGCTCAGGCTAGCACCATGCATGCCAGCGTTCCTAGCTGTGCAGGCAGGCAGAGAGGGCAGGTTGGTGAGGTGAGCAAGCAAAACTCACTCGGGGTTGCAAAGGGCTCTACCAGGTATCCATCACAAGGTGCAAGGGTGAGAGAGAGTGCTCAGCATGCACGCAGAAGTCTCCATCACCCTCAGCATTTGGGCAATCCAAAGCAAGCACACAGGCACTGAGTTTCCAGAGGAAATGCGATTCTCATCAGCACCCAGATGCTGTTTAAAAGGGATGGGCTCTGAGGAAAGGCAACATCTTTTACTAAACCGACCCATGAAGCCAGGAGAAAAAAAATCAATTGTGACTTCAGAGATCTGAGAAAAGCATGTTATGCCTGAAACATTTTCCTGCCACATCAATTGGCCTAATTAAATGCATCATTTTTCTCCCCACATTTTTCTGTCCTTCACAAACGTAAGAGTACAGGCTGCTACAGGACAATTAAAGCTGCTGGCCTTGCCTCCAAAATCCTCCTAATTATGTCCCCTGCAAATTGCTGGGCCCCAGGACATTGCAGACCAGACACTTTGCAGCAGTCTCAGCTGAAATAGGAGTGGGGGATCATACTGACCAATGTTCGACACAGAGCTCACTGCTGCCTCCCCCGCCACATGGAACCTGGCATTGATTTTAATTTATTTCATCCTGTCCAGCAGTTTGAATTCTAGAGTTTGGTATTGAAAAGGCTCCTTTATTATAAAAGACCATTAAGAGAAGGTGGGACATTTTGACATGTGAGTATGGGCAGATGAGTCTTTTATATCTGGAATGATGTGGGACTCAAGCTGCTTTAGCTTGAGAATGTGTGCAGCTCACCCCAATACTCAGGCTACCTGGAAAGTAGTTAGTCCCTGTATTGCTTACAGCATAGCCGGGTAGTGCAGAGTTCAGCATTGGCCGCACCAGAGAGGTTAGTGACGTTCTCCTGGTTAGATTTCAAAGTTGTCACTGCAGGAACAGGAATTAGGCAGCCAGCACTTCCCTGTGCTGACCTCATGAGCTGTTTGCACAATGTTATCATGCCTACTTCATTTAGGTCCTATGGGGAAGGTTTTATTTACCTTAAAAATGCAAACCTTACTTCTGTACAGAAGGCTTAAGCAGCAGAGCACAGACTTGTGCTTTGTGTGGGCTGTGGACAAAACCGGTGTTAGCAAATCAGTGTGCGTCCAACATCCAGATCCCACTTGCTCCAACCAGCATACAAAGGATGCTGACACAAGCCAGCAGAGCAGTGTTGTTCCCAACACTAGGATCACTACCAGTCCCCTCCTGCTGCCCACTGCCTAGCTTGGACGCAGTGCTGGTCACCATTAAGGACCATGAGGGAAGCAGCCCTTTCCCAGTGGCTCCGCAGGGAGCCTCACGCTCCTGGCTGAACGGTGTGACTGGGGACTGCGCTCAGGGGACTGCTCCTCGCTAAACTGCCCTAGTTTGCTGCCTGCCCCTGTTGTCCCGAAGTAGATTCTTTCACCCAGTATTCAAGAGGCCAATCCACACACGGAGTCGAGGTATTTGATTGATTTCCAGTCCTGCACAAGAAGGGGTGCTTAGGTGCCAAATCCACAAAGCCAGCACCATCTCTACGAAAACTTTACGCTATTTATACATTTTAGCAAACAAAGGCATTGTTTGCTATTGAACAAAGGTAGTTCCTTGGCTACAAGGATTACCTAGTTTTTTATTAATTAGCATTCTATCCTCTGTTGGTTAATGCTAATTAGTCTGCATGCTCAGTCTTTCTCTTCATTTAGGTCGGTGAGTTTCTCGAGTCGGTGGTCCGTGAGTCGGTGGTCGCGATCTCCCCCTGCCGGAATTACCTGTTACCCCGTCGGAGCTGATTCAGCAGTTTCTGGGCTTTGTTAATTTCTTCCTTATCTTGGGAGTTCTGACAAATGTCGTTGTGGCCCGTAAATTCTTCCTTGTTTGTGTGGCACGTCCTTCTTCCCAAGCTTTGTTAACCTGCCCCTAGGTCTGATATCACGTGGACACACGTCGGTCGAGCTCTAAGCCTTCACAAGGCAATTCTACCGACAAGCAATTTGTCTCTCTAATACCTGAACATCACTTAGAATTTACTTGTTCGCTGCTATCTGTTTCACGGATTAAATCTCCTTTCTTGTCGATTAGGCTTGGAAGTATACAAACAGCAAACATGAAAGAGCATCCTTTCCGAAGAACATTTTTACATATCGCACGTTTCACGACATCCCCGCCGGCCCGGCCGCGCTGCCCGGGGCGGAGCGGGGCGGCGGGGGCCGGGGCGGCGGGGGCCGGGCCGGGCCCTCCCTCGAAATGGCGCCGCGGCCGGGGAGGCGCCAAGCGGCGCCCGCGGGGCGTGAATAAAGGGCTGCGGGCGGGGCGGCGGCGCTCCGGTAGGCTCGGGGCCGGCGGCGGAGCCGGGTGAGCGGGGCCGGCGGCGGGGGGAGGCGGGAGGCCGGGCCGCGGCCGGGCGGCTCGGCCCGCCATGAACAAGGCACAGCTGACGCGGACGGGGATCCTGCGGATGGCGCTGGGCGGCGGCTCCGCCGACCCGCTGCTGCCGGCGGAGGGCGGCGGGGGCCGGCGGGCGCCCTTCCTGCTGCGGGCGCTCCGCATCGCCGTAGTGGTCTGTCTCTACTGGTTCACCTCCATCGCCATGGTCTTCCTCAACAAGTACCTGCTGGACAGCCCCTCACTGCGCCTCGACGCCCCCCTCTTCGTCACCTTCTTCCAGTGCGCCCTGACGGCCGCCCTCTGTTTCGGCCTCAGCTTGGGGGCGGCCTGCGGGCCCCCCTGCTCCGGCCTGCCCACCCTCCGCCTCGACCCCAAGGTGTCCCGCAGCGTCCTGCCCCTCTCCGCCGTCTTCATCGGCATGGTCACCTCCAACAACCTCTGCCTCAAGCACGTCGGCGTGGCCTTCTACAACGTGGGGCGCTCCCTCACCACCGTCTTCAACGTGCTGCTCTCCTACCTGCTCCTCAAGCAGACCACCTCCCTCTACGCCCTCCTGGCCTGCGGAGTCATCATAGGTGAGGGAGAGCAGGAGTGGCTGCATCCATCCCGCAGCCAGCAGCCCCAGAGAGACAGAGGTGGAGTGTCTTTCCCTTGGGAAGTCATCCCCACCTGCATGGCAGCTCCCTGGTGAGGTGGGGTAGCTCAGGGCTTTTTCCTTGCTCTGCCTCCAGCAACTTGCTTTATATGTCTGGAGGATGTAGATAACTCATTAAGAGAGGAAATTACCCTTACTTGACCATGGCTTCCTTTTTCCTTTGAGCAGTAAAACCTATCTGGCCTCTAATGATGCTTTACTTGCCCTACCTTTTTTCTTTTTCCCCCCATATAGGCCATAAAACAGCAGGTGGCTTTCTCCCCGTTCCCAAGTGCTTGTTCATTATTAACTTTGGTAACAATAACATTTATGTCAGCACCACAGGGCCCGTGCAATGGAGCCGGCCAGTTCAGACAGGCCGAATGCATGTGTTGAAGGGTTAGCTGATCAAGCCAAATGTAAAACACCACCAGCAGATCTGGTTGTGTGGTTAGGATGTAGGGCCAGCCATTAACTGGCTTAACGGGGATGCTTACAAGTCTTTAAATCCAAAAGCACTGGGAATGCCAAAAGCTGCCTTCCGCTGGAGGGTCATTTAGATGCCAAGAATGGTGGAATGTTTATTTCAGTCTGGTTCCAGGTGAGCCTGTGTTCACTTTGCTGCTTAGACAAGTAGATGGATTCAGGTTAAAATGAGAAATCTCATTTCCATAGAATAGCTGAACAGGAACAGAACTACTCTTTTTTTTTTTTTTTTTTCCACCCAAGTGATGCAAGCAATTGCTTTAGTTAATCTTTTGTTCAGGCACTGCACCAGGAGTGTGGTGTCTGCCAGCCTTACAGGGTTTCTTTAAGGCTCTGTCCCCCTGGCTCTGTCTCCTTTTGCTGTGAGAGCATTGACAGTATGCCTGAAGCAGCACAGCTGAGCATCCTCCGTGGCCTGACACAAAGCCCTTCCTGTCAGTGCATTGAACCCTTTTGTATTTGGGCTTAGATTAAAGCACGTTGGCTGCTTTGCAGGTAACTCACCAGACAAACTCCAACGTGAAGCAACTTAGAAAGCGTGGTGCAGTTCTCCTTCAGTAGCTCATCTCCCCTTTTATGTTTTGCTTATGAGCTGGATAAGGAGACACAAAGGCTGTAGCTCCTGTTTTGGAGATGGTTGAAGAGTTCATTACCCATCAAAGTTTAATGTGTTGAAGATACTGCATGCAGTTTCTGCCTTGTGATCTTTTCTCAACCATAGTTCTTAATATTACATCCATGTGTTTACTATCTTTCCCTCTTTTCTGACCTTTTCCTTCCTGTTAACAGCAAAGACTGTGAGGCTTTTTTTTCCCCTCAAACCTTGAAGAATATTTTTCTACCTGTGTGTGTTTGCTGTCTTTTCAATTAATAAACAATCATACGGTCTCCTGAAAATTACCCATATGCAAAGACTAGCTGGAGTAATAGTTTCTGAACTAGTGCTGCCTGCTCAGTGTGGGAATTAGTCCTCTGAGATTGAATTACCCACGCTCCCAAAATAAATCTTCCCAGGACACTAGTCATGACATTTTTGGTTTCACTTAATAGAAAGGGAAAAAACCCTTAAGCCTGTCTGTTTGTAATTGTGGTTGTTCAGTATAAAGTAGATGATGAATTTCTGACTATGTTTTGAGCCTTTCAGCAGTTTCTCAGGTGATGTCTGATTTGTTTGGTTGCAGGTGGCTTCTGGCTGGGTGTTGACCAGGAAGGAGCAGAGGGCACACTATCATGGACAGGTATATTCTTTGGGATCCTAGCAAGCCTGTGTGTCTCTCTCAATGCCATCTACACCAAGAAGGTGCTGCCTGTGGTAGATGGTAGCATCTGGCGCCTGACCTTCTACAACAATGTCAATGCTTGTGTACTGTTCTTCCCCCTCATGATGCTGCTGGGCGAGTTCCGCACGCTCTACCACTTTGACAAACTGGGGAGCCCCAGTTTTTGGGGTGTGATGACCCTGGGGGGAGTGTTTGGCTTTGCCATTGGGTATGTCACTGGACTTCAGATTAAGTTCACCAGCCCACTCACCCACAATGTGTCTGGGACAGCCAAGGCCTGTGCCCAAACAGTGCTGGCTGTTATCTACTTTGAAGAAACAAAGAGCTTCCTGTGGTGGACAAGTAACTTGATGGTTTTGGGGGGCTCCTTTGCCTACACATGGGTGAAAGGACTGGAGATGAGAAAGGTGCAAGAGGATCCTAATGTCAAAAGTGGTGAAAGAAATGAGACTGGTGTGTAGGAAGCTCCTACACTTCCATTTCTGTGCCTGGGGGGATAACCTTTGGTGCTCATTGCCTCCTGGGGAGAAGAAGAGCAAGGATCAGGAAAAAATTCACCTGCAAAGTGTATGGGGAACTGTGTCAGGAACCAGAGCCAAAGACCTGACTGGATCATGTTTTATCTGTGGGATCTCACACCTATCAGAGTTGTGGAGAGCATGTGTTGTAGAGATCAACTGGGGTTTTTTGTGATTGTTTTTTAAAATGGATGTTGCTATTGTCCTAATCTGGGAAATTTGCATCTCGGGGGGGGGTGGGGGTGGGTTCCTAGCAGACAAAGACTGGGGTGGGAGCTTTGTGTAGTTAGGGATCTAGAATTAGCTGAATGAATGCAGTCTGAAGTTATAAAGTCCTGAACCTCCAGGTAAGGAAGAGGCAAGTAGCTAGACTGTTTGGGTTTGACTCCAGTAAACTGTTCTGCTGTAAAAGGTTTTTGCAACAGCTGTTCTTCCTGTTGCCCCATTCAGTGCAGAGGGTGAAAATTCCTTCCCTTCTGGCTATTTACAAGTCTAAGCAACAGCCGTGCCTCCAAATCTCCTTTCCAACGAGTCAGTATCACATCCTTCTGAGGTTTTTTCTGTGTTGCTCTGCATCTGATATCTCAGTCCAGGGAAGCATGCTAAGACTCAGGAATTAAACTTCTCATTCCCTCTGCAGTGTGTCCCCTGAGGGAGAGCAGGCTCACTCCAGTGGACTTTCTCATGGAGGAGTGAGTTTGGCTTCTGTGTCTCTCTGTGAGAGGCAGGAGGGGAAAAGTTACTCTGAAGCACTTGCTGCTCTAGAGTGGGGATCCCACTTCAGAGAGTTCACAATACTTCTCTTTACCCTCTGTGTAAGGGGTAAGTTTGTGTTTGAAAATGAGTTACTATTTAGACGTGTTTCAAGAGACTTGTTCCGTATATAGTTTGCATCTCCTCTGGTGTTTGCAGTTTATCTTTTGGCTTGTTCCTTTTAAACACCCCATGGCCACCTCAGTGAACCCTTCAAGTCAGAAAAAATTCTAGGTTTGCTTAATGGCATCGTTCCCTTTGCTTGGAACTTGCTGCTGAACAGTTAGTTCTGCAGAGATCTCTGCCCCTAACATCTGGCCCTATGCAATACTCCGTGCTGCGATTTCTGATCCCAGGGGTCAACAACAGCAACGCCCTGTTGTGAGCTGTGATGCACCAGCTTTCTAAATCCCTGGCCCCTTTAAACATAAGGAGTTATTTGGATAGTGATCCTGGGCAATCCATGCCATTGCTTTATCCCCTGCCCCATGGATACTACATGATGTACCATGCCCCGAGAGTGATGTCTAGCCACACCTACAGAGAACCACTCAATTTCTGCCGAGAATATGTTCTCGTTTAATTTAAGAGGGTGCCAGGTTTCATGACCACAGGTACCTTTTTGATGCAGGCCGCCACTGAGGGTCCTTGAAACATTTTTTTATTTTTCACGTTGCACGTACCGACTTGGGGCAGCCGATCCTGCTGCGGGAAGCCGGGAGTGGCTCCCGGGCTCCGCTCCGGCTGGGATCGCCCTTGCGGGAGTGTCGCGGCCGCTGGGGGGCAGCAGAGCGCCCCAGGTCCCCGCGCGCCCCGCCCAGCGCGCTGATTGGCTGCTGTGGCGCGCCAATCACGCGGGGGGGCGGAGCGGTGGCGGGCGGCGCGCGGCGGCCGCAGCGGTGGGAGGAGGCGGCGGCGGCGGCGATGGCGGCCGCGCTGGGCCCCGCGCCGTCTCTGTGCCGCTCCGTGCACTGGTTCCGCCGCGGGCTGCGGCTCCACGACAACCCCGCGCTGCAGGAAGCGCTGCGCGACGCCACGTCCCTCCGCTGCATCTATATCCTGGACCCCTGGTTCGCCGCCTCCTCCGCCGTGGGCATTAACCGCTGGCGGTGAGTGGCGCCGGGCCTGCGGGCGGGGCGGGAGCGGCGGGGCCGGCGGCAGGGAGGCTCCTGCGGTACCGGGGCGTTCTGGGTAGGGCGTGGGCCGTGTCGGTCAGGCCGCATCAGCGGCGGGAGCGGCACACGCTGCCCTGCCTGGCCCGGCCCGGCCCACGCACCGCTCCACCGGCCCCCTCTGAGGGAGAGCGGCTGTGCCGTGCCCGCTTGGCCTCGCCGCGGTTTCCGCAGCGGTGCTGCCCGACTCTGTGGGAGGATGCCCACAACTTTATGTAATGTCATTAGATTTTCTCCTTACCCTCTGGGCGAACGTATGAGAGCAGCAACCCCTGCGCATTTAGCTTTGGGAGACGCTGTTCCCTGGGTTTAGAGACAAGTGCAAAGAATCCTCAGCGCTGCGTGGCTTCTCCACGCCTTCCCTGTGCCCTTTGGCTGCCGGGCACACGTAGGCATGTGCGCACGCAGCTGCGTTCCTCCCACCCCACAAATTTCTATGGAAATACATATCGGCTGCTGCTAAGGAGGTAGAGAGGAAGATATGTGTGGGCTTTTTCCCACTGTCTCCCAATGGAAAAATGTACGGCATGAGTGGTGTGTGCAGAGAATAAGACCTCATGTACCTGTAGCCAGTAACATTACATAACGCTGTTGTCTCAGCTCTCAGCTGCCTAAACATTTGGAAATCCAATCCAGGTAGAGATTCTCCTCGACAGGACTCCCCCGAATACAAATAAGGCAGATTTCCCCTGCCCTCACACTACCCCGGGACGACCACCTGGCTGAAGATCCTTTGAGAGCCCTTTGAAATGTTATGTAGCTGTGCACTAGGGAAACTGTAGTAACTGATTGCCTCTGCTGTGCACCTTATCTTCATCTCAAGGAATGGGAGATTATATGAGTGATACCTATGCCTTTCTAAAACTCCACGTCAGAGGATGGCTTAAAATTCTAAATGTGTGTAAATTACCTCAATGTACACGTTCAAATTACAAAAAATTGTGGATTCTGTTACAGATAAGCGTTGCAGGAGCCTGAAGTGGTCTTTCTGTAGACCAGACATCCTGCAGGCAGCAGAAATGCGTTTCACGTGCTGCTGTTGTTGCTGACTGTCCCCACTTGGAAGAACTGAAGCACTGCCACAACAGATTAGTTCCTGATCTGTTTAATCCTTGTTTGTTTCTACCAACATTGCGGAGGGAGGGAAGCAGTTAGTAGTCTTCATGTTGTAGTCATGGAATTTATGAGCAAGTGAAATTTTTAAAATAATGTTTTCTTGGAGGTGTGTGCCTACTGCAGATGTCAGAAACCAGCACCACTGGCTGTTGGGGAAAAATGTATTAACAAGTTACTTATGTTGACCAAATTTCGATTAGTTTGCACTGGGAGACCTGGCTTTGTTTTGCTAATTTTTTTTTTAATACAAATACTTGTATTCGGAGTTCTGTTCTCTAAAGGCAAATGTTTGTGTTTTACCTAGTTCTCACATATTTATCGTATTGAGATTTCCTTGTTATTTAACTGCACAGGATGTGTGAATCACATAGGACTAATGCTTGATAAATTTTTAGAACACTTGGGAAAGTTGACATTCCTATTTAATAGATGAATTGTGGGCTAGGGGAGTGGTTTGTTTACCTGGACCTCGTTCTAGATGTTCTGCTTTTTGATAGAGGGCCCTTCTTTCCATGAACCCCACCTCCTTTAGTCCCTTGGGATGTGGGAGCTTGTTCTGTGTGTAAGCTCAGTTCGCACTATGGGCAGTGCAGCTGAGGAGAGAGGAAACCCCCACTTAATTGTAGCTTAGCTTTCCTTAGCTGTGTGTGGTCTTAAGGGAGCTGCTGCTGATACTCCTGTCTCCAAGATCACGCTGCAGAGTGGGCGGGTGAGGGAAAGGTAGAAGTTGGCAGGCTCACTTACAAAGGGTTGCAAGTTTGCCAGCCGTGCCAGGTGCCGAGGAGAGACTAAAGTTTTAAAGCTGATGTCTTTTGCAGAGTTAAACAAAGCAAAGTGATTATGTAGGTGGGGAGGACCTATGTGACTGGGAAAGCAAAGATAATACCTTTAATGTTTTGTAGGTTAGTGGGGGATCAGTCAAACACACAGTTACCGGCAGAAAGCATTTACATGAGTCTTTAGAGTTTTGGGGTGAGAGGGAATAGATGAGTGCCTTGGTATGCTCTCATCTTCATGGTGGAAGATGAATTGCGGCTCTCTTTGCAGGTATTTTAAATACATGTGATTCTTGCCTCAGGATATCCTGGTGCTCAGTCTTGTGCTACTGATGAGCTAGGAGAGTACATTTCTCTGCTGTGACATGGTGTACTTGTAGCCAGAGCTGTAAAACTTGCACAGTTCTTGCAGTATTTAATTACATTCCTTGGAGAAATTCCATCGACATTTTGCCCCAAAACCTATGAAAGAATACAGTAGGGTATTATATGGTTTATGCTTTTCTATGTCTTGTAACGTGGGGAGAGCATCTGGCCAGGAGTGTTCTCCCAGCTCTGAGGGAGAACATGAGAAGGGGATTTCAGGAAGAAGAAAATCTTGGAAACCTCTTGCATCTGAACAAGCTGGCTGGAGCTGCAATCTTATAGCAGTTGTTAGACAGACCAGGGATGAATATGAATTCTTGTTTTCTGTTTCTTATCTGAACTCCAGTTGGATTTGGTGATGCAGTTTTGCTGGAGTTCTGTGCAAATTCTCATTTGTTTTTTAGCTGCAACCAATCTGGCTGACACTAACTGCTATTGTTTCTTCTCTGCAGATTTCTACTCCAGTCCCTGGAAGATCTGGACAACAGTTTAAGGAAATTGAACTCTCGCTTGTTTGTTGTGAGAGGGCAGCCAACAGATGTCTTCCCAAGACTCTTTAAAGTAAGAGAATAATTTTTTGGAGCATAGTGAAAAAAAACCGATGGCCTAGTGCTAAACTTGTTTTCACTCACTAATGGTTGGAGATTCATTTGGCGTCTCCTTAACTATAACCAGTTTTTCGCTAAAACAAACTTTAGTCTTTAACTACTACTAACTACTATCCATAAGGGCCAACCTAGGAGCCAGATCCACTCCTAAACTCAGACTGGCAAAGAAATTTAATAGTAGTGTGTAACCTAGTATCAGGGTGCTCAGGCTTCTCTTTTGGATGGTGGTCTTGACCTTCGTTACTGTTAAGTCACCTCTCACAGGGCTGCTCTGTAACATCCTGACTCTTGTGTTGGAAGCTTCTTCCCTACTGGTCATTTGGTTCCTGCAGTTTTTACTTGGGAAGACTGCTGTGTCCATACACCTTTACAGACAACTGGAAAAGCACATTGATCTTTATGAATTGCAAATAGGACTTCGTGTTAAAATTTCAAAATTCAGAAGCTTTTATGTTAGCTGGCCTTCCTTTTCTTCTTCTGTTCAAGGATGCACTTCAGTCAACTCAGCAGCAGAATATGGCTTGGGCCCAAGCTTCTTGCTGATGTACTGGTTAGGATGTGGAATATGCAGTTACCTTTTTGGTCAGTGATGGATTAGGGGGATACATTTCTAAAGTGGTATGTCAGGGCTGACAAGAGCATCTCCTTGAATATTGAGGCTCCTCAAGCAGTATCATTCTTCTCTGTCCTGCTCCAAGATTGTATTTCCAATGTCTTTGAAGCTTTTTGATGATGGCTTTGCTAGTGTCAAAACTAAATGAAAAAACACAGTTCCCAGTAGTCTTATAAGTTGGGTTTGTCCTGTGACTTTGGACTGTCATGTGGACATATGGTTGACAGAACTAGTGCCCCAAAGCCTATTAGAGACCAGCTGCTGAGAAGGAGAGGTAAACTTGAATCTGTACCCTCCTGCACTAAATGGTTCTGATGTGTATTTTCTGGAGGAGGGCAGTACTGGAGAGGGGAATAGCTCTATGCAGGTGAGAAGGGGCACTGATACTTATTTTGGCTTCTGCATTTTAACACATGACACAAAGTATGTGCTGCTTTTAGTCTTTTCAGAGTCTGGGTTATTTTTATCTTTTGATCTGCAAATAAGTTCTGGCTATCA